TTTTTTCTTTTTTTGCTTTCTTACAGATACTGGAATTGTCCTGAAAATCATCACAATTTACAACCAAGAAACAGAATCCATGGAAGAAGTAATTCTAGAAGAACTTCAGATATTCAAGGTATTTTTAATAAATAATATACCCAAGATTATGTACTGCAGAAAATTACAATTTAGAATTAAGTTGAAAAAATGTTATGTCCATTTTTTTCCCTAATAAGTGTGCTATGAATTCATAACAGTGAGGAATGATTTGAATTTCTAATGCCTCTGGTATTTCATTGTCATAAACATTTCAAAAGAAGAGACCTGTCTTCATGTAGAATAAAAATAATTTTAATATAAAAACTGCTACTATAAAAAATAACATACTACACAGGAATTTTAGATTGACAATTGCAAAGTCACATCTTGTACAAATGAACTATCAATACTGACAAAAAGTAATATGTTTTTATATTGTGGACATTGTGGCTAGACAAGCACACTGCTTTTAATTATTGTGTACTAACTACACATATAATTTATTAAAAATAGAAAATAATAATCTGAAGATTATACAGGACTAAAAAATTATATATATATATATACATATATGTGTGTGGATATAATATATATTATATAAATACACTTTGAAAGGTCTCATTTTTCTCAGCAGTTATGGTCTTTAAGGTCACCATTGCTTCTGAGGGAAATACAGAGTTAGGTTCCTGCAGATTTCTGTTTATAATATTTTCAAGTGATCAATAGATAAACTTGTTTATGTGTGTTCCTGTTAAAACACATCTTTCCATTTATATACTTAGTTGATTAATTAATAACTGAGTTTACAGTCAACAGCACTATAATTCACTGAATGAAGGTTATCATATGAAAACATTTTCTACATTAAGATGCAATGTAGCCTTTTTGAGTTTAGAAACTATAAAAGGCACTTCAGCTCTAGGCTTGGAGGTCATTTTATACAGCAAAGTACTAACAAAAAACAACATGTAAAGAAATGTCACTAAATAGTTAGTGTGAAGGACACTTGTTTACATCCTGGGTGCTGAAACTTGATTTCAGCTGATAAGTGCATCATCTGCAAAATGTGCATCTACATGTCCTCAAATGAGAGCCACAGCAAATTGTTGATATTGGGATTACAATTAATTTAATAGTAAGTGGATTTGCACACAGAGAATATACAAATTATAAGACTCATCCATATATGTAGACGATAGATATATGTGAAAACACTTTATTAATAGCAGTACATTTTACCTTGGCTGTCTGGAGACCAGATTTCTCCAGTGCCCCACACTAAGTTAACCAGAGGAA